CGGAGCTGGATAGGGATTGCGCTAGAGGATTGGGATGATGAATGAGGTTCTGGTGAAAGTTGGAGAATCTGGATGGGATGATGTCATGGACATATGGGATGTTAAGGTCATGGTGTAGGGTCTTGTTCGTGACATAATATGGAGCATTGACTATTGTTCGAAGGACTTTGGACTGGAAGGATTGGATGCGTTTGATATTCGATGATTTAGTTGTCCCCCACAGTTCAAGTCCGTAGGTCCAGATAGGTTTCAGTATGGTCTTGTAGATTAATAATTTGTTTTCTGTTGAGAGATGAGATGTTCTGTTTAGTAGTCTATATAGCTGACCAAATCGTCGGTTAAGCTCTTGTCTTTTAAGTCTGGTATGTGGGTTCCAAGTCAGTCTTTTGTCCAAAAGGAAGCCAAGGTATCGGACTGTGTCTGAGTAGGGAAGAGGAATTGAATTAAAAAGGATTGGTGGACAGGATCTGCGTCGAAGAGTGAAAGTTACATGCTTGCATTTTGATTCATTAATTTTGATGCGCCAGTTGTTGCACCACTGCTCAATGAAGGAAAGGTGTCTTTGCAGGTTCTGAGACGCTATTAGAGGATCCGAGTGAGAGGATAGGATGGCAGTATCATCAGCAAATGTTGCTAGGAAGGTATCAGGACTTGAAGGGATGTCAGCGGTGAAAAGGATGTAGAGAACTGGGCCCAAGACACTGCCTTGTGGAACACCAGCCTCAATTGGATAATGTTTGGAGAGTTCAGTGCCGCAGCGGACTTGAAAGGAGCGATTTGAAAGGTAGGATTTGAGGACTAGGTACAAGGGTTGAGGTAAATGGGTTTTGAGTTTGAAAAGCAAGCCATCGTGCCACACCCGGTCGAAAGCTTGAGCTACGTCCAGAAAGGCACCAGTGCAATATTGCTTGTTTTCAAGTGCAGAGGATATGTGGTCGACAACGCGAAGGCCTTGTTGGACAGTGGAGTGTCTTGAGCGGAATCCAAACTGATGGGGAGGGATATTGTGGGATTCGAGTATGGGTAGGATGCGTTTGAGAAGGATTTTCTCAAAGATTTTGGAAAGGATCGGAAGTAGGCTTATCGGTCTATAGGATGATGTATAATTAACAGGTTTACCTGGTTTAGGAAAGAGGATAATTATGGAGTGTTTCCACACCAGAGGAAAGTGGGTTGTGCGGAGGATACAGTTGAATAGGTATGTAAGGAATATAATTGCTTTTTTGGGAAGTTGTCTGAGGATCTGGGAAGTAAGGAGATCGTGTCCTGGAGATTTGCGAGGTTTTAGGTTCTTTAAAAGGAATTTGACCTCAGAGGGGTTGACGGCTGTAGGAGGTAAGGAGAGAGGAATCGGTGAAGAGAGGAACTCTTTAACTTCAGCAGTATGGGAGGGATGGAGTTCAGGATGAGGAGTGAATGTGTACGATAGATGTTTAGCAAACTCTTCTGCTCTATTCTCATCTGACGAAGCCCAGGAACCATCATCACGGCGGAGGGGGTGGGAAATGGATTGGAATTTAAGGATTTTTTTAGTTACATTCCAGATGGAGTTATCACTTGCAGATAGTGAGGAAAGATAGGAATTATAGGATTGGGATCTAAACGTGGCCAGTTTTTGTTTTACTTGCTTGGAATAATAGTTATATGATTTCCGATCATCAGGATGCCTGGTTCTTTGCCAGATAGCCCTAGAGCATCGTTTTCTATTAATAAGGTCCAGTAGGTCTTGGGGTAGAGGATTTGTTTTGCGGTATTTTTTAGAAGGATCAGGTGAAGATGCAGTCCAAACTGCTTGTTGGATCAACGTAGTCATGGAATGTACTGCTTCATCTAGGTCTGTAGGTGTTTTTAAGGAAACTCTGAGGTCAATATTATCATCCAGCATTTGACGGAAGAGGTTCCAATTAACTGGCCCCCTGATAAATGAAGGTGGAGGTGGTTTGGGAATTGGTGATGTGGAAACCGTTAGGATTAGGGGACTATGGTCTGAGGAGAGATCATCAAGTCTTGAGATGCAATAATTAAGGGACCCTAGACCTTTGTGGATGAAAAAATCTAGGAGATCGGGATTGCGGTTAGGATCTGTTGGCCAGTATGTGGGAGAATTGGGTGAGAGGATGTTGCTGTGATGGGAATTAAGTGCAGCTAGCAATGTTCGTCCTCGGGAATTTGTGGTTCTGGCTCCCCATTGCTGGTGTTTAGCATTTAAATCTGCACCTAGAAGGAAGTGGTGTCCTAAGGAGTTAAGGAAGGAAGTTAATTGGGATTCTGAGATGGGTATTTTAGGCGGGGAGTATGCTGCGACTACTGTTATTGGGTAAAGGGAAGTTTGGATTATCACGGCTGTGGATTGTAGGAAATTATGGGTTGGCAAAGGGAATAGATGATGGGAAACGGATCTATGGATAATTATGGCAGTGCCACCATGTGCTGTTCCATCAGGATGGTCGGTTCGATAAATATTGTAGCCGTTTGTTGGTTAGTCGAGTTTCAGTTATTAGTGCTATGTCGATGTTTTTGTCATGTAATAAGATTGTCAGTTCGTTGATGTGGTTCCGAATACCATTCGAATTCCAAAGGAGAATGGAGAGGAATTTGGTTGATGACATTTATGGATTTCTTGGCAGTGGAATGAGGTTGGATATAACATTGGTAAGTAGCGAAATAAGAGGGGTAATGAGAGATCTAAATTCGGAAAGGAAAGATGTCAGTAGGCTTGTGAGGTCAGTGGAATTGGAAGGAGGAGGAATGAATGTATGAGTATTTAACCTTGTATGAGATTGAGAGTTTACAGTGTCTCCTTTGAACATCTGAGCATAGGACACTCTTCCGTTCACTATTCTAGAGGGTTGTCTTGGTGGCCTGGATGTCCCTTCTTCTCTAGGCGTTGCGTACATTCGTGTTTTTAAATTTTTGTATGTTTGACAACCATTGTAGTTGGCTGGGTGTCCTTGGTGGCATAAAGCGCATACTGCAGGTGAAGTTCTTGACTTCCTACAGTCCTCTGTTTTGTGTTGCTCACCACACCTCACACATCTAGGAATGTGATGACAATACCGTTTCGTATGGCCATAAGCCTGGTAGTTATGGCATTGAACGATGTCGCGCTTGCTGTAGGGCTTTTCTACAACAACGCTTGTATAATAAAGGCGTGTGATCTTGTAGATGTTTTCGACATCGGGTGTTCGGTCAAGGTCAACGAAGAATAGTGGAAGAGGTATTTTATTTTTTGTTCCAGGCTGTTCTTTATCCTCCTTGAATATGTTCACTATCTGTCGAACATGGAATCCCATACCCATGAGCTCTTCTTTTATAGCATCTGTTGGCGTAGATGGGTGCAGTCTTCTGATAACGACCCTGAGCGCCCTCTCTTGACGCAGTTGATACGTGTGGTAATCAGCCTTGGTGTCAGATAAATATTTTATCATTTTTCTGTACGTTTCTGGAGTGTCGGGCATTAATTTAGTGTCATTGGTGCGGCTTTGGCATAAATATTTTCCTGAACCTACTAGATTATTCAATTGATGACACATCAATTGAAAGTTTTTAATATTTCTAACAAATATTGGTGGGGGTTTAGGTTCTCTGGGGGTTGATGCTGCTTCCATTTGTTCGTTATTTATATTTGAAAGCACTTCAAATGGATTCGAAGTGAAAAACGGCGATTCTTCGCCCATAGCTTGAGTTGTCTCACAATTGTTAGGTTGTTTTGAGGAGCCAGGTTGGGGTTCAACTTCTTCTATGGAGCTCCCTGGTGTGGCTGGTGGAGTGTTTCTTTTTGAATGCCTTGTCTTTTTTTTAATGGGAGAACTAATTGTAGTATCGAGGCTCCTGGACCTAGTGTTTTTGCCCTTACTCGACATTAGCATGTGATAATATCGCATTTCATATTAATTTTTTAAAAGAAAAATTGATAAAAGTGAGGCGATGAAAAAAATAAATTTTTATTGAAGACGAAAATATAGACGCGCGCTTGGAGAACGCAGGTCTGCTTCCGACGAAGGGCTCCAGCCCACTAGTCAGATTAACGATGTGTATTATGGCTGGCCGTTATCTAACTAACCTAAGGTCTATTTACACTGTTCACTCTTGTGTTGTAAATAAGTGATTACTCACCTTATTTTTTTGTCCAGTATCAAACGTAATTGTTAATGTAACTGATAACACTAATTGTTCACATTAAGCTTGTATACTGCCACTGATAATTGAAATTTTTTAAGAGACGAACTGACGTATGTTTAACTAGGGCTAACGCATGCGCAGAACTGGAAATAGTATTTAGTACTATAAAATGTAAATGTATATATTATTGCATTGTAGGCTTTTGTGTACTACAATATCTCTAAAGGTTATATTCTAAAAACACGATTTAAAATATTAGGTAAATTTACTTAAGCCTCAATTTCTAATCTTAATTGAAATTTGTTGGAAACATTTTTGACATCAACGATAAAGAGAGGTTATAAATAATTCACCATTTGGAGAGAACCTTGTTAAGATAAATAATTTATCAATTATTTTTTTAAAATGAATTCCTATAATATTGTGTATTAATATTGTTTTATTTATTAAAAATGTTTTCTATGAAAAATCAATACCCAACGCTAACATGTAGTATATTTAGTACTACGAAAACGTCTTCTAACTAAAAAAATAATCAAATAAGGATAAACATATTAATTGTTCATTGTAATGTAAATATAAAAAAATAACATAAAATAAGTTTGCAAAAAGGCATTAAAAATATTTTAGGAGACTTTGACAAATTCAATTCTAAACTTTTCACCATCGAAATACTTATCATATATTTAATACTTATAATAAATAATAGTGATAAAAATGAGAGAGTGGGGTCAGCAAACAAAATAACAAAATTTAAAACTACATTGTTTTTTATTAATTAAAATTTCATTATAAAAATACATTACTGTTCAACCAGTTACTGGATTAAAAACAATAAAAGCTAAATTAAAATGATTTATCCTTATAAAATATGAACATTATGGGATCTGTTTCTCGATGCTTCTTTGGCAGCAAAAGAGTTGAAGGTCATTTTTACAGGCACAGGCAATATCCACTGATTCCAAAGACTCCTCAACGAACCTCTTTATTATATCATTTTCATCCTGCGCAGCAATGTCATGAAGAATAAACTTGAAAAGTCCACGCGGGAATCGACTCGAAACGATGCTTAGGAACAACCATTCCTTCATCTGCAAGTCGCGGACCCATCCTTCATCTTGAGGCAGGGCAGGAGGTCCTACGTATTTGGAAACTAAAGAACTTTCTCTGAAAAGTATGGCGTAAAGGGTCAATGGAAATACAACTATTACACACAATAAATTTGTAACTACGAAAAAACAAGAGCAGGTTTCAATACACGCGACCATTAACAATTCACAGGATAATACGTGTGTTCCTTCCGTAGTGTAAGACATTTCCATCTGAATGAAATGCATTATATAAACGATAGATGCAGATTCAACTAATCGCTGGAGCCATGAGAATACTAGATCTTTGAACCATTCGGCGACTTCGTGTGGTTTCAGAGAATCTTTTAGACTCATTCTCAATAGGTCGTAATCCTTATTTGATTCGGGCAATTTCCCATCCAATGAATTTCTTACGTCAGTCTTAATATCGAGTGCAGTAAATACAAAGATAACAATTGAAAGCATCAAATAAAAACTAACTTCAGAGGTGTAAAGCTCAGTGTCTCCCGATTCCGTTAATGTTACACCAGTGTCCGATTGCTGAGGGAAAAACAACAACATCCAGAGGAAATGGATCAGTGCGAACGAGAGGCCAACTAACCGCGCCATCTTCTTTACTGCTCGAGGGACCGATCCAGACTGAAGCAGTAAATTAAATCACTAGCAAAATACTCTCGCGGGTATTTTTATAAAGATAACAGGCATACCATTGTACGAGGCCATTATGAGTCAGGGATTCTTCGGTTTGTTTTGCCCATGATCAAAAACAGGCGCATATCAAATTACTAATAAACGAACACCATTCAACAGGGATAAAAACATTTAAAATAAACATTTCAAGAAATTAATAATGCAATGTTACAAACCCGTTCAATGGAATTGAATAAACAATATACTGGTACAAGGAAAACCATTTTGAAAGCATTTTTTGTGGAACGTTTACTTTATTCGACGTTTGTTTACTTCAATCTCTGACTCACCAGAATAATTAAAAGTTAAAAAAAAAAACCTATAAAAGATTTTTATTTATTATAAATATCGAACACTATAGTATTGTTAAAGCTTTAATACGGGATATTTAAAATATATTTAATCTCCGCTTGAAGCAGTGGCTCCATAACTGCGCCATTATTTAATAAATGAAAATTGCTAAACAGTAACATTTAAATGAAATATCAATGCATTGAATCGACATTTAAATGTGTCTATTCATGCCCAGCCACCGTTCACCTCGTGGCTGTGCTATTTTTAGTCATATTTAATAATTATGTTTAATTTAATATCTAAGCCATATTAAAAAGAGGACAGAATACTTTAATCTAAAAAAAAAATAAATAAAATAAGCCAAATTAAGAAATATGGAAGACTTCTGATAAAATTACAAGAAATAAGCAAACCCCGATAGACTTCCAACACATTCCACTACACTGCTACAGTAAAAGCACTAAAAGTATATTTGAAAACAAAAAAACATAAATAATGGGCAAATAATATCAGTTATTAATATAATAACACTAATATTAGGGGAACCGGGAAGTAATATCGTTTCTGTATATGTCACTATTTAACATCTTTTTTTAGCTGATTGTGTACATCAAATGCGTTGATGTTGCGTTGAGGAGAGTGACTTGTTTAGTAGTAAAATTTTTTGTTTGCAATTTTGGATGAAATGGCCAGCCAAATACCAGAAGAGGTACATATCCGGCATTGCTTGCTTTTTGATTTTCGCAAAGGTAGTAGCGCTACCAAAACCATTTGCATTGTTTGCTTTTATTCAAATGCATTAAACGTTAGTAAATGCTAAGGGTGGTTTTCTAATAATGTAATTTTGATCATTCTGCTCGTATCGATTACGAAGACCAACTACGTTAGACAATGATATGTTAGACGGATAGGGACGGAAGTAGTAGCTAATTCGTGTCAGACAATCGAGGAATTGTCAAAGAGTCTTAACCTAACTTGGCCGACTATCCGAGAATATCTGCAGCACATTGGGATACCACCACATGTAACTTATTGCTTCACGGCACAACACAGAAGCGGTTTTTGATCGCTTGATCGTCGGAGATGAAAAATGGGTCCTGTATGGTAATCCAAAACGCAAAAGCCAGTTGCTCTCTCCAAATAAATCACCTCGACGTACTGTTAAGCCTAGTTTACAACCCAAAATGGCTGTTTAGTTTCTTTGGTGGAGTATTCGCAGGGTTGTTCATTTTGAAGTGCTGAAATCTTGACAAAATGCAGACCTTTACTACGAACAATTGGATCGTGTAAATCAATCTTTAATTGAAAAGTGGCCAGTGATTGTCAACAGAAAATACATTATTTTGCAACACGAAAATGAAAGATTATGAACTGGAGTAGGAGGTACTGCCTCAGCCGCCATACTCGCCTGATATTGAACCATGAGGTTACTGTTTATTCTGATCGCTTGAACACTTTTTAAGTGGCAAAAGATTTGTAAATTTGGAGGATACCTAATATGCCATTTCTATATATTTTTCTCAAAAACCAATCAATTTTTATTAATTCAGCATTGAAAATTTGCACACTAGATGATAAAAGTATGTTGATAATAACGGTTATTACATCATTGATTGAGAATCAAAACTTGTTTAAAATGTATGTTTTTTAATACAATGGAAGAAAACGACATTAATTTTCAGCTTCCTTAATATATCAATAATAACATGCAATTTAAGACGGGATCATCAGAGTCACAAAACAGGTAACTGTACTCACTCCATTGGCTTACTAAAAAGCACCTTACTACTAAAGTACAGAACTTACGAACCCTAGAAATAATTATACACAAAATAAACACTTCATTAAATTGCTACATGGGTGTACTCCTATCTTTCGTGGCAAACACACAAATTGCTTTAAGTTTTAATTCAGTTGGATGAAACGTGTTGTAATTGATTTGAATAAGACCTAAACATTATTAATTTACTTAATGCTTCATTCGATATGAAAAATATTTAATTAATATGAATATAATCCGAGATGATGAAAAAAAGAAATATGTTTTTTTATTAAAAGCAAATATATTTGGCTATACAAATATTTAGATACCGTTAAATGGAGACAAAATAACCAAAACATTAAATAAATATATTAATAAATTCAACAAACAAATGAGCATAAATCCCCTTATTAAATCTGATTGTAATATATTTTCATTTATATTTATTTAATCTCCTCCTCTTCTACCGTATAGCAGTGATCACAATTGTTATTCATAATATTTAATATATTAATTTATTTTGAAAGGTATTACGTAATATAAAGAACAAGAGAAATTTGAAAGAATTTAGTTTGTTTTCTGTAATGCTCTTAGACACAGCGCAAGAAAACTCATACATATGGCATCTACGTATAATAAAACATTAAAAAGTAGTGTTTGGCTTCGAAGATTCAAAACCTTTATTATGAAGTGCTTGATTCTATATATTACATAGGATTTTTTTTATAAGGGATTCTTGGAACGGTAGGTTGTTATGATCCCAATACTGAATGTGGTCCGTCAAATAATTTATATTAAAAAAATAAATAAATAAAATTGGTTTCCTTAACCAATATTATTTACGACTAATAAGTGCATCAAATAATCAATTGACAGGTATTGTTAAAAAATTTTGTAGGTATTGTTATAATTTTTTGGTAATAAATATAGAAGATATTAGGCCGTTCAATAGTAATAGTAACTTTAAGGAAAGTATAGAAAGACTAAACAACGAAATATTCCAGAAAATCCGAGGATACAAAAGTTCAAGAAAGTACACCAAGAAGATGAAAGAAGCAATGCAAGTAGTAGGAATAACGGACCAAGACTGTCTGGACGGAGAAAGATACAGGAAGACTGAAGGAAATTGTTCTTGTAGGAGAGAAAAAGTCGAAAAAGGGAGTCGCGTGGACAGGAGAAACACAACAAAAGCATACAGAGAAAATGGAAGGCAAGGAAAAACACAAACAAGAAAAGAACCAAAAGTAATGATATTCGCGTGGCCGCTCTAGAAAACCGATCTAAGTTAAGAAAAAATAAATTATTTACATCTGTTCCTTAGGATGTTTAAATGAGTATTCATAATGTTTTTTTAAAGATTAAAAAAGTATAGTATTTATCTATACTGCTAATAAGTAATATTTATATATACTGATAATAAGTATCTATACTGCTATGTATTGAATATAGCAAATACATTTTTAAAATTATTATGGCACGTGAGTCTTTCTCGATGTTGAACAGGCGTTTGATAGAGTTTGGCAACCGAGACTGATGTACAAACTCCGTAAATTTCTACCACCTACATACTTCCTCATTATCCGTTCCTACCTTACTGACAGACACTTCAAAGTCAATCATAACAATGCTCATTCATCTCTTTTTACTCAGTCTGCCGGTGTTCCTCAAGGTAGTATCCTAGGTCCTATTCTTTACACAGTTTATACAGCTGACATCCCAACCCAATCCAACACTGTCATCACCACCTATGCCGATGACACGTGTATCCTATCAGTTAATAACGATCCATCTATTGCATCCCAAACGCTTCAATCACACATCACAAGTCTTGAAAAATGGTGTCAAAATTGGAGGATTAAAATAAATTCCAATAAATCCCATCAAATTACCTTCACTCTTCGCCGTAAACCTATGACTTCCTGTCCTACAGTATCCTTCAGCAATAGCCCTCTTATCCCTGTCGAACAAATCCGATACTTAGGACTCCACCTTGACAAACGACTCACTTGGAACCCCCATACCAGACTGAAACGACTAGAAACCACCCGACGTTTTCGACTACTGCAGCACTTACTAGACAAACGCTCTAAGCTCACAATCAAGTACAAACGACTCATATATATGACAGTAATAAGACCTATTTGGACTTACGGAATTGAGCTTTGGGGCTCCACTAAACCATCGAATTCCTCTCGTATCCAATCCTTACAATCCAAAATCTTTCGTAAAATCCTCAACGCTCCTTACTTTGTCACAAATAAAATCATCCATTAAGATCTTTATGTTCCATATGTTTCCGATTTGGCCCAAACCAGATGCCTATCCTTCCATAACAAACTGCAGAACCATCCGAATCCTCTCGTTTCAAACCTTGCTTCCTCCTCGATCCCTGATAATCCTCCGAGGCATCTGAAAAGGCATCGGGACCTTCTAATGTAGAACTTTAATTTGAGTTCTACCAATGGGTAGTTTCTCTTCATGTTGTATATTTCATGTTACCAATGTCACATTTACTTATTGTATTTTCCATGTAATACAGTTGTAAATATCAATAAAAAAAAATAAATAAAAAAAAATTATTATGGGCTGCGAAAGTTGAATGAAACCGACTTCTGAATTCAAAAACAACGTCATGGGAGAGAGAGGAGGTAGATAAGGACCTGGAGCCTGGGGAGGGCTTACAGTAAAACCTAGAAACGGGCTAAGCAACTGGTTCCTTTTAGGGTGTTACCAGTTATTGTGAAGTAATAGAATTAAGTTGAGAAACAATGAAAACCATCCTTGACCCACCCTGAATATTTGTATATAATACGCTGAGAAGTAAGAAAAGAGGCCTTATGTTGATTTCTAGCCGGGAGGATAGGTCTTATGTTTTTTTCTGGCTTGGGGACTGAAGCCTTGGCCCGGCATAGACCACACTGATGGACGTCTTGGAGAAGTTTTTGGACCTGGCCTTGACGAGATGACCTCGGATCAGCGCATGCAGCGATGAAACATGACATAACTACACCACTTTACATTACATACCATAATAGCTAAGTTGTAATTCCCAATTCTGATGTTAAAATATTTCATGACAATAATTTTCAAACAGTCCATCTATCTGAATTCACAGTCATTGATTAAATTCATTGAATCACGTATTTATTTTTTTGTAAATATAATTTGCATATATAGTTAAACATAGAAATAAAATAAGTTTTTTAGTAAAAGTTATTTAAATTCTGCCACCCATATATATCATTATCATCATAAGTAATGTTGGTAATTAGAAAGCATGATAAACACAAACCAGCCTTTGAGAAAAGAAATCCAATTAATTAATTCTAGACTAATCAATATAATATAGATAGATGTCTTTGACTAATCTTTCATTATTGATTTTTATGAAATAGTTCTGGGTAATTCTCATCAATAATTATGCAGTGGCATCCCGAAGTAAGAATTAAACCCCCCAAAACATAGCAATATACAACTAGCGGATCCAGGATTTAATTTTGGGAGGGGCTTCAGCCCGAAAGATTTTTTTTCATATACATATAACGATAATTAATTTGAAAAAAAAGAAATTAATTAATTACCTATATGAAATGGTTCTTGAAGTCCTATTAAATATAATTATACGAACAAGAATATGTTAAGAGATAGTTTTTAATACTTTTTTCTGTAAAACACGGTTACATTTTACCATTTTCAGCCCGAAACCCTCTCCCCCCCCTCCCGCAGATCCGCCTGTACAAAATACTATGACATATTTTAATAGGAGAAAATATATATATATATATATACAGATAGATGAGTGTGTTCAACATTAGTAAAAAATGAAATACATCTCAAAGACACATAATCTTATGAATAGAAAAAAAGAGAGAAAACACAACCAATATCTGATATCAATACTATATGGAAAGTGAAACAAAATCTTTTCCATATTCATAAAAGAAACAATACATATATAAATGATGTATAAAGACAAATAAAATCTTGTTACATAATTAAGAATTACCCAGTGTCTGATTGAAGGAATTGGAATAAGAGAGTTTTAAATTTGTGTAAGGGTGATGCATGGCAGATTTTTTAAACTGGATTGAATTCAAATAAGCGGTGGAAAGGTCAATAAAGGAGTTTTTAAATGAGGCAGATCAAGTTCAGAAGGACGAGATCTTGTGGAGGGGGATTAGATTTGGGTTAGATTAGATAGATTTGAATTGGGGGAGATTGTATACGTAGGACGGACGATATATTATTTATGTGTGTGTGTATATATATATATATATATATATATATATATATATATATATATATATATATATATATATATATATATATATATATATATATGCGTTTTATGATTATGATGCGTTACGAACCTGATGGTTGAGGACCGGAGCATGCCGGTATCCAGGACACTCCGAGCTGGCCAGGTCACCTTGCGTAGCCATTATCGAGAGGAACATGAGGCGAAGCTATACCCTCACCTGCCAACATCCCTACAACAGAGATATAGATTTATATTAGATAACTCTATAACATACGCTATATAATATATAATAATACAATATAACATAACATTAGGAGGCCTCTACACTTTTTTATATTTTACTCTTGCTATAATTATTAGTCATTAAATACACGAGCCCATATAATCAACTTAATCTATTAATTTTCAAATGTTCGTAACCTGAATAATAAGTAATTCTAGGGCTAGTCTAATAAATATCGCCCTAAAACATTTGAAGGCCGCAAGTTCCCTACCCATGGTATTAGCCGATTGATAGATTTACTCACTCACGCCATATTTTACTCATATACGTCGAAATATTTTATTTCGGATTCAAAATAAGTATGAAAGAGAAATTTAGCAAGAGATGATGGTAAGGAGTTATGGAAGAGCTCCATGGCAGGTACGCTTTAAGACATCTTGAGGGGTCAGTTTAACACCCGTCATCAAAGTTCGTGATGGTTTTCCTCTGGGTAACTCCCACAAAACCGTTAAGGCTTGGGTTGTTTGACTTCTGAACAGCATAACCAAATCGAATCCAACATTGTCTAATGGTAAACCAAAGCAGTTATCGTATTATTTTTTGAAAAACCTAGGAAAGGAAAGTGGAGTTTGCTTACAACAATTTAAGGAGACATGTTCTAATGTCCCATGAGTATCAAGAGTGGGAAATATTCAGAAACTCTAGAATTTAAAATTAGAGTAATACTAGTATTAGGTTACTATTAAAAAGAATTGATGCAGAAGAATCCTTGCAGTGAGAAATAGCTAAGAAAAACTCCTTACATCCGGAGCTTACTCGAAAGAACCTAATGCAACTACGTTTTCTAGCATGCATCGGAATGCACTTGTCGTGAAACTTAAACCACGTTCAACAATGAGATCGGCGAGGAGAACTAAAGGGAATTTTCCCGTTAACTATTTCTTCTTTAGTTTAAGAAAATACTGAAATAGAAGAGGGCTGTACTAACTCAAACTAAAATTCAGACTTCTCCAGTCCTTAAATACTGCCATGTGCCTTTAATGTTCGAAATATACTATAGAGAATCGAGAACCTGAAACTAACGCATCTAACTGATATTGACTAAACGAAATTAGTAAAATTTATCATAAATAATAAATAATAGGTGAAGAATAATTTCATTTATCTTTTATCTCAGATAATAAATAATTTAATCTTGTATTCTTTATTAGATGTTTAAATTCAAATAATTGAATTGTAATATTTTTTTTAGAATTGCGCAGTTTTATGTTATGGGGGGGCATATTTTATGAATTAATATCGGATTTAAGACTGCAATTCGAGGTTTTGATAGTTTTCGGATTTCTTCGATATAAGGATTCATTATTATTTTTTCGGGTTATTTTTTAAAAGAAAAAAAGAGTCTAATTGAAACTCGTGATTATTTGAACCTTTCTGGATTTCATAAAAAGTTTCCCCGAAAACATATTAGTAGACCTAGATATCAAATAAATAAAAAAAATATTAAAAACCTGAGGTGCAATCTTAAATCCGACAGTATTTTCATAAAAAGCGCTCTCAATGACGTAATAGTGGACTGTTATATAGGAAAAATCCATGTTACAAAAAAAATATATTCAAATCATATTTTAATGTTAAATAACGTAACAAAAGATAATGGATAATACAGGTTATCATTAAATAACGAATAAATTGATCTATTCTTCGTTATCTATATTAAAATTTGAATAACGCCTAACAATGTAAAATGACACCTCGTCGGTTCGCCAATTCGTGCCGTTTTTCTGCTACGGCGGATTTCGATTCATTGAGTTACGACGCTATCATAAAACCTGGTCGACCGACCTGCTTGAGAAGTTCTAAGACCTGGACGTCTGAACGTGATGCAGCGTTGACCTGACCGTCTACAGAAATTCGATTGGATATACAACACTCAATACCTCATCTCTACAATAATTTCAATGAATGAGTTAAAATACACCAGCGTATAACAAGCGGATTAACAACTATAACAATGTTTCTTCTCCCTGTCAAAGATATTTAAATTCTGAAAAATCTAAAAGAAATCTCAAATTAACGGTGTGCAGTGTTATATCATAAAACCAGTTCGAGACACTCGAGACACTGCGAGTCTAGGAACTAACCTGTACCATAGAAAGAGTTATTGAATGATTTGAGAGTAAAATTCTCAAGGTAATTAGATTAATAACGCATAGAGGAAAAGGACTAATAAAGAACTTCTTATAGAAACTGGTCAATCAATATTCCATGATATGAAGGCAATGATGTGAAGAAAGGCGAGGCATGTAGCTCAGAGCAATCCATCAGAAAATCTCTACACAACAATGAATGCCTCAATAGTAGGCAAGGGACCACGTGGAAAGGCAAAAGCAGATAGATAGATCGAATCAATAAAGATGCACTAGATCATGCAGATAACTGGAAAGAAATAGCCCAAGATTGGTAGTTTTTGAGAAGGCTGGCTAAAAGTGGTAAAAAATCTACAAGATCCGTAATTCCAAAAGTAAATATATCCAAATATAATATATAAACATTCAATCAACATGATAAAACACCCTAATCGAACAAAAATTGACGTTGTTTTTTTTTAAAACAAACTTTATATTTGATGATGTGATGTATGATTAATTGATGATAGGGACGATTGATCACGATAATTAGAGTATTGATACAATAAAATTATGATATATTAATCATCAAACAATAGTAGAGCATGGTGCGTTATAATCACCGGAGCTAACCACATCACCACTAATTATGATCTACAGGCAGTTGTCGGCTCATTTCCACTCCAGCGGTCCCGAACACTGAGCCCGGATGTCTACCCCAACCCCCTCTGGTGTCGATATAGTGCTTCGCCCTTCCCTCAACATCAAGTCCAGAATAGTTCAGTGATCAGAATAATATCCCTACATAGCACAAATATTGATGCATTTTTGGAAGATTCTGAAGAAAAAAAAAAGAAAGAATAAATATCAAGACTTATGTCAGTGCAGAATAATTTGAAAACTTCGAACATTCAAGTCATTTTAATTCACATAATCATTGAAGAGACTGAATTTTTATAGAAGCCAAAAGAGGATAAAAATTAATTCCAACCTCTTTTTTTTCACTTATAAACTTTACATGATAATTATTTAACATTAATCAAATTTTATTATAAAAGTATTTATTATTTTTACTTAAATGTTGAGCTAAGTCTTAAATTACAACATATAAATTATCCGAAGGCACCAAGTTTTGATACAGATAAATAAATATTTAGAAATGACTAATGAATTAATTATAATCAAATAGATGACATAGGAGAAGAAAAAGCTTTCATGAATCCGAAATTAAGATTTTAAACAATAAATAGTAAACATTTTGAGAAGTGAGATATATAAAAAACAATTCATCACAACAAAATTTCCTATTACACAAACAATAAAGATATTGAAGAAGTAGAAATCAGAAAATAATCATAAAATTAGTAGGGTATCATATAAAATTTAATCCTTTTTTAATTTGAAATCAATAGACGATATTTGTTATTTATTTTATTTGATTTGATTTACTGTATTATATTTGAACCGTTTTGCTCTATTACCTTCTTCCATGGCTCAGGAAACTTCATTATGCTCTCTTTCCAAAACATTAAGTATTGAGCTTAGATCAGTTACTGTAATAAATATAGACCAATGAAAAAAATCAATTTTGGTGCGTATCAAAAATCATTTTTGGACCGAAGTTATCATTAAATATCTGCTGCTATTTCTCCTCTGCTGGTACTGGTGGACGCCCCTGTCTCCACTACTTAATAATAATATGACAATGAGGTTATAATATAACTTATAAACAGCAGACCAGGAAAAAAAAAGGAAATCGGTAAAAATATATGAGATCTTGGGTTTCTTTGTTGTTGTTTTTTATTCATTGATATTTACAACTGTATAATAATAATAAAAATACATGTAGTAAATGTGCATTCAGAAATATAATAACATGAAATCGCTTGTTGAAAAGCTACTCAATGTTAGCACTCAAATAATAAATTTAAACAAGAAGATCACGAGGGCAGACACCTCGGAGGGTTAGCAGGGATCGAGGAGGAAGCAAAATTTGAAAGGAAAGGGTTCGGATGGTACTGAAGTTTTTTATGGAAGTACAGGCATCTGAATTGGGCCAAATCGGAAACATATGGAACATTCTGGTCATTATGGATGATATTATTTGTGACAAAGTAAGGAGCGTTGAGGATTTTACGAAGGATTTTGGATTGTGAGGATACTATACGAGAATAATTCGAAGGTTTAGTGGAGCCCTAAAGCTCATTTTCGTTAACCGAAATAAGTCTTATTATTGTCATATATATGAGTCATTTTTAATTGATTGAAAGCTTAGAGCATTTGTCTAGGAAGTGGTGGAGTAGTCAGAAACGTCGAGCGGTTTCTTGTCGTTTCAGTCTTGTAAGAGGATTCCATGTGAGTCGTTTGTCCAGATGGAGTCCTAGGTAACGGATTTGTTCAACTGGGATAAATGAGGAATTGTTAAAGGAAAGGAGGTCATAGGTTTGCGACATAGGGTAAAGGTAGTTTAATGGAATTTATTTTAATTGTCAAGTTTTTACACCATTCATCAAGGTGATATGTGATAGGAGAGTTTGGGATGCAGTTGATGGATCATTATTAACAGATAGGACACATGTGTCATCAGGACACGGAGATGACAATGTCAGGATGGGTTGGGATGTCAGCGGTATAAACTGGATAGGACCAAGGATACTACATTGAGAAATCTTGGATGTTATTTTTTTTTCTCCTCTTCCTTGCCTTTTAGGCTACACGGTTTTTTTCCCGGGTCGGGAGAGAGAGCAGGGGAATCAGGCCGAGTTAAAAGTTCAACCAAGTACCAGGATTGATCATTGAATTTGGTTGCCGGGCAATCCCGCTAGGCCATCTCGCCCTCTCTTG